CCAGGCTGGAGTGCAATGGCGCGATCTCGGCTCACCGCAACCTCCGTCTCCTGGGTTCAGGCAATTCTCCTGCCTCAGCCTCCTGAGTAGCTGGGATTACAGGCATGCGCCACCATGCTCAGCTAATTTTTTGTATTTTTAATAGAGACGGGGTTTCACCGTGTTGACCAGGATGGTCTCGATTTCTTGACCTCGTGATCCACCCGCCTTGTCCTCCCAAAGTGCTGGGATTACAGGCTTGAGCCACCGCGCCCGGCCGAGTTTGGGGTTTTTAAAGTATTTTTTTAAGAAGTATAATTTACTTGGAGTAAAATGCACTGATCTTAAGTGTATAAGGTGAATTGACAAATATATATATCAGCCCAAATGTGAGCATTTTATGGAGAGAAGTTGTGCTAGATCATTCATTTAAATACCAGTTCTGTAAACACTATTTCATATAGCACCATGTCCATGTAAACATGACCCAAATCAAATTGTGGAACTTTTTTTTTTTTTCTATTCTGGACCCCATAAGGGGGCAATACACACCTCCCTTCTCCCAGTCTGTGAGGTGGGTAACCATTTCTGTTTAGTTCTATTTCTATAACTGTTTTTGATTTTAAACTTCCTAAAGTGGAATCATGGAGTATGTACTCTTATATCTGGCATTTAGTGTCTGATTTTTTTCTTTTATATGGTGTTTGTGAGATTCAGCTGTATTGTTTTGTATCAGTATTTTATTTCTTTTTATTGCTAAGAAATATTCCATGTTGTGTATATCTCAAAATTTGTTTATCCATTCCCTTGGTGATAAATGTTTTACTGTTTCCCAATCTGGGACTATTCTAAGTAAAGCTGCTATGAAAATTTTTTGGAGTCTTTTTGTGGACATATTTTTCTTGAGTAAATACCTAGGAGTGAAATCACTGGGAAGGTGTGTAACTTCATTCGAAACTGCCAGTTTCCCAAAGTATTTATGCCATTTTGCAGTCCTATTAGCGATATTTGAGAGTTGTCTCATGTTCTTGCCAGTTCAGTATTATCAGTAATATCTCATGGTTTTAATTCCCATTTCTTCCTTCACCAATAATGTTGAGTGTGTTTTTCTGTGCATATTGATCATTTGTAGCCTTCCATGATGTGTGTATCCAAATCTTTTGTCCGATCCAAAATTGGGTTGTCTTTTTATTATTGATTGTAGGAGTTCTTAAATACTTCAGATCATTGATTTTAGAAACTTTTCTCTTTCCCTTCTTCCTTCCCTTGTTCCCTCCCTCTTCTTAGATTTTCTTATGATAGTTCTAGATTTCTTTATTTTTTGACAGGATCTTGCTCTATTGCCAAGGCTGAAGTACAGTGACACAATCAGAGCTCACTGCAGTCATAAACACCTGGGATCAACGGATCCCCCTGCCTCGTCCTCCCGAGTAGCTGGGACTGTAGGTACAAACCACTGTGCCCAGCTAATTTTTTGGTTATTTTTATTTTTGTAGGGATGTGATCTTGCTGATTTGCACAGGCTGGTTTCAAACTCCTTGCCTCAAGCTATCCTCCCACCTTCTATTTTCTAATATAAGCATTTAAAACTGCAAATTTCCAACTAAGTATTTCTTTAGCTGTATCTCACAATTTTTTCTTTTTGAGATAGAGTCTCACTCTGTTCTTTAGGTTGGAGTGTGTAGTGGTACAGTCATGGCTCATTGTAGCCTCAACTTCCTGAGCTCCAGCTGTCCTCCCACCTCAGCCTCCCAAGTAGCTGGAACCACAGGCATGTGCTATCACGCCTGGCTAACTTACTTATTTTTTTATTGTAGGAGATGGGTCTCACTATATTGCCCAGGCTGGTCTGAAACTCCTGGATTCAAGCAGTCTTCCCACCTTTGTCTCCCAAAGTGCTGGAATTACAGGCATGAGCCACTCCATCCAGACCACAATTTTTTTTTTTTTTTTGAGATGGAGTCTTGCTCTGTTGCCCAGGCTGGAGTGCAGTGACGAGATCTTGGCTCACTACAACATCCACCTCCTGGATTCAAGTGATTCTCCTGTCTCAGCCTCCTGAGTAGCTAGGATTTCAGACACCCACCACCACGTCTGGATAATTTTTGTATTTTTAGTAGAGACGGGGTTTCGTCATGTTGGCCAGACCGGTCTGCAATTCTTAACCTCAGGTTGATCTGCCCACCTGATCCCAAAGGTGATCCCAAAGTGCCTGGATTACAGGCATGAGCCACTGCTCCTGGCCACAAATTTTGGAATGTTGTGTTTTTCACCATTATATTATCTTATTTTTATTTTCTATTTTTATTTTTTTGAGACAGGGTCTTACTTTGTCACCCAGGCTGGAGTGCAGTAGCAAAATCTCGGCTCACTGCAGCCTCCACTTCTGGAAGTTCAAGCAATCCTCTGGCCTCAGCCCCCCAAGCAGCTGGTACTATATAGGCATATACTACCACACCCACATGGCAAGAGAGGGTTTCACCATGTTGCTCAGGCTGATATTGAACAACTTTGCTCAAGGGATCCACCACCTCAGCCTCCCAAAGTGCTGGGATTATAGATGTCAGCCACCACACCCAGCTACTGTCATTGTATTTAAAAGTGTTTCTTAGGTCTTACTATTTTTATTCTGTCTGATAATCTCTACTTTGTAATTGAAGTGTTCACTACATTTATGTTTAATTTTATTACTGATTTGGTTGGACTTTTGTCTAACCACTGCTATTTGTTTTGCTATTTATTTTGACTTGCTCTTTGTTTTTCCCAACTTTCTTTGTTCTTCCTTGCCTTCTTTGAATTAATAAGGTAATTTTTACTTTTCTTTTTTATCTTTTCTATACCTCTTTGTTTGACTATAGTGGAGACTCTAATGATTATGATTAATATTCATCTAACATCCCTATTGACCCAAAACACTACTTATACAATATAAGAAGCTCATAATAATATAATTCCATTTTCCTCACTCCAGCTGTTTGTGCTGTTGTTGTCATGTATTATTTATACCTGTTATAAATATCATAATACTTTATTACTGCTATTCTTTAATTTTTAACTGTTTTCAAAATAATCTTATATTTACTCACATTACTATTTCTGGTTCTCCTTATTTCCTCAGATTCATTTTTTTAAATCTGAAATCATTTCCCTTTGGCTTTAAAAAAAACCTTTCTTTACCATTTCACTTAGTATGCGTCTCCTGGCAATACATTTTCTCAGCTTTTATATGAAAATATCTTTATTTCACCTTTATTTTCTAAAGGGTATTGTCACTAGATTTAGAATTCTAGGTTGATAAAATAATGATGCAGTCATATTTTTATAATTACCTTCTTTAAAAAAAATCCTCATGTTGTAGAGACATATACTGAAGTATTTTTTCAATATGAAATTATATGGGCCGATCACAGTGGCTCACACCTGTAATCTCAGCACTTTGGTAGAAGGCACATGGTGAAACCCCCATCTCTTATAAAAATACAAAAATTAGCCGGGCATAGTGGTGCACACCTGTAATGCCAGCTATTCGGGAGGCTGATGCAGAAGAACCACTTGGAGCTGGGTGGCAGAGGCTGCAGTGAGCCCAGATTGTGTCACTGCACTCCAGCCTAGGCAACAGAGTGAGGCCGTCTCAAAAAACAAAAACAAAACAAAAGAAAAATAAATTATATGGCTTGGCCATGGTGTCACACACTTGTAATCGCAGCACTTTGGGATCCCGGCTGCACCAAGAAGATCACTTAAGTCCAGGTCTTTAAAACCAGCCTGGGCAACACAGAGAGACCCCATCTCTACTAACAAAACCAAAAATTAGCCAGGCATGGTATTACACATCTATATTCCCAGCTGCTCCAGAGGACGAGGCAGGAGGATTACTTGACCCCAGGAAGTTGAGACTGCAGTGAGCCAAGATTGTGCCACTGTTCTTCAGCTCGGGTGAAACCTCATCTCAAATAAATGAGAAAAAAAAAAAAAAAGAAATGAAATGAAATTATATGATATCTAGGGCATGAGTAGGGGTATAGATGAAATAGATGGGCATTGTGATGAAGCTTGGATATATGTACAGGGGGTTCATTATATTCTACTTTTGAATATATTTTAAGTGCTTGATAATTTTTTAAAATTTATTTTTATACTCAGAATTTAAAGGTAAGATCTAAACTTCCTGATAGGTTTTTTATATTTGTTTGCTAGAATGGTAGCTGAATGGAGGTTGTCTCGAGGTGTTGAAGAACAGACACAAGCTTTCTTTGAGGGCTTTAATGAAATTCTTCCCCAGCAATATTTGCAATACTTTGATGCAAAGGAATTAGAGGTAATGAATTTTTCTTCATTTTCCTGTACCATGCTAGTAAATAATGCCTTCAGTTTTCTGCTTTTAACTCACTTTCTCATCATTCCAGTTGCTGTAATATTTTTTATACTGGCAAAATGTTTTGAGACATCCGCAGTGTCTCAAAAATTACAAGAAAATTATAATTTATTCAAAGATAAAACAATAGTATACCCCCCCAAAAGTACAAATAGTAGGGCTTCTCTACAACTGACTGACTTACTTCCCTGAATATGTATATATATGACATCGTGCATGGAACCTTGCCTTTCTGAGTAATGTAGATAAAATTCTTGATGTATAGATGATAAGTCAAAGCCTACTGATTGTTTTTCTAAAGGTTTACTTAATCTTAGTCTTTTCTTATCTATGTATAGCTGTTTTTTACGATTACCTAAGAAAACAATTTGTCTTTTTCATCCCTAAAGGTCCTTTTATGTGGAATGCAAGAGATTGATTTGAATGACTGGCAAAGACATGCCATCTACCGTCATTATACGAGGACCAGCAAACAAATCATGTGGTTTTGGCAGGTGTGCTTTTAAATTTATTCCTATTAGTTGACACAGCATAATTTTTTAGAATTTGCTTACCACATGTGGAAATGAGTCACAGGTCAAAATGTACCAGTGTATATAGACCCTTCGGTCCATCCTGTGCATTATAATAAATGGATACAGATTATAATAGCATCCTTTTAAGACTATAGCCAAGTAAGCCACACATAACTTGCGTCTTTGTCCAGAGTAGAGTGTAAGACAATTCCAGATGATAAATTTGATTTAAATGATTTTGGGTTTTTTTTTGCTTTTTGATTTTGGAGTTTTATAGGACTGTCTATAGCATGGTTTTTATCACTTATACTTCGTTAGTTATTATGTAATGTTCAGAAAACAAAATTTAAGAGACCTGGTTTAGAATCATAATGGTTTCTGGCCGGGCACAGTGGCTCACGCCTGTAATCCCAGCACTTTGGGAGGCCGAGGCGGGTGGATCACGAGGTCAAGAGATCGAGACCATCCTGGTCAACATGGTGAAACCCGTCTCTACTAAAAATACAAAAAATTAGCTGGGCATGGTGGCGCGTGCCTGTAATCCCAGCTACTCAGGAGGCTGAGGCAGGAGAATTGCCTGAACCCAGGAGGCGAAGGTTGCGATGAGCCGAGATCGCGCCATTGCACTCCAGCCTGGGTAACAAGAGCGAAACTCCATCTCAAAAAAAAAAAAAAAGAATCATAATGGTTTCTCTCTAAAATGTCTGCCTTAAGCATAGTAAATGATGTTCAGCATCATTAGTATTTAGAGAAATGCAAATCAGAACCACAATGAGATACCATATTATACTTCTTAGTATTATTTTTAAAGTGGAGAAGAGCAACCATTGCCAAGAATGTACTGTCGGTGATAGTGTGAAATACCATACCACTGTGGAAATAGTTATGGTGGTTCCTCAAAAAGTTAAACATAGAATTAACATCAGACCCAGGAACTCCAGTTCTTGGTATACACCCTAAAAAACTGAAAGCAGAGGCTCAAACAGATACCTGTACCCCAGTATTCATCCATTTACCCACACAAAATGTGGTATATACATATAGAGTTGCTCCTGGACTTGTAAAGGAGTTTTATCCTTTACATAAGTCAAAAATATCCTGAGTTGAAAATGCATTTAATACCCTGATAAACCCATTGTAAAGTTGAAAAATCATAAATCTAACCATCATAAGTCTAGGTGCTCCTCAACTTATAATGGAGTAATAAACCCAGTAAACCCATCATAAAGTCAAAAAATTGTAAGCCAGGGACTGTTAGAATATTATTCAGCCCTAAAAAGGAATGAGATTTTTAGTATGTGCTACAACATGAATGAACCTTAAAAACGTTATGAATTTTAAGATAAGAGAAGTAAGCCAGACACAAATGGACAAATACTGTATAAATCTACTTACATGAGGTTGCTAGAATGGGCAACTTCATAGAGGCAGAAAGTAGAATATGGGTTACCAGAAGCTGCTAGGAGCAAAAATGGGAAGTTGTGTTTAATGTATACATAGTTTTTACTTGGGATGATGAAAAGATTGGAAATAGTGGTGGTGATGGTTGCACAACAGTGTGAATGTACTTAGTGTCATTGAATTACACTCAAAATGGTTAAAATGCTGAATCTATGTTAAGTATATTTTATAGTTTAAAAAATTTAAATCTATACATGTAAAGAAATTCGTATGAGAAACTTGAGCTTCTGCAACAAGTAGGGTTAGCATTATAGAATAATTGATAATAGTAAAATAGGATTAAAATCATTCCTTACAAAAAAATTTTTGACTGAGTCAAAATAGTTATACTACAGACTAGATAAATTCTCTAGAAACCTATCATTTTGAGTCAGAATTGTATGAGATAAAAACCGCATAATTCTAGCTATGTGTGGCTATACCAAAACCTAAAGAACATTGAGAAGAGGAGATTATTGAGGTATATTCTGCATCAGAATTCTGTGAGTTTGATTAAAGTTGTTCATAAAACAGCAAAGTCTACACTGACTCAAGGTCTATATCCTATGTAGCCACATGAATATCCTATAGAACGGGCAGATCTGGGGTTGGGAGGTGAGGGGAGAAGGGCGTCCCTAGAAGAATTAATCTTAAAACTGCATGAGTAAGGAGCTCTTGGTCTCAGGCCATCTTTCTTTTTATATCTCCCTTTAAGTACATTGTCCTATGATTTATATAAGGAAAGGTAGTGGGGCTTTGATAAACATGGAAATGGCCCTCTATCCATAGTGATAGGTTAAGTATCCAATGCATTGGACACCAGGGATTCCTTTAAGATTTGAAATGAGCTAGACACAATGGCTGGCACCTATAGCCGCAGCTACTCTGGAGGCTGAGGGGGATTGCCTGCTGCTCAGGAGTTAGAGGCTGCAGTGAGCTATGATTGCACCACTGCCACAGAGCAAGACCCCACCTCTAAAACAATATATAAAAGATTTGAAATGATTATTTTTCTTTCTTGTTTAGTGTGCTGAATGTAATGTATGACATATATATTTCTTTAAATATACTTTTAACAGTTTGTTAAAGAAATTGATAATGAGAAGAGAATGAGACTTCTACAGTTTGTTACTGGAACCTGCCGATTGCCAGTAGGAGGATTTGCTGATCTCATGGGTATGTATATAGAATCAGTTTTCCAATACAGAAAATTGTTTATCATGCTGCTTTACATAAATTTGTATACAAACTATTGGAAACAACAAACACAAGGATAGCCATTTTCTTAACTATTCTCAGCATGGATTTGTGTAACCTTTTAAATAATTTTTAGTCCTTACCTCTGTAGAAATTTTTAACCCTCAAGCTAGAACCCACAGCTAACTCATTAGGATAGCAGTCTTCTGTATGTAAGTCTGTTCATTAAGTCATTGCCAAACATGTGTCTCTTATGAGTCAAAAATCACTATTGGTTGTATTATTTAAAGATGTGAGAAGATCATTGCATACAATAGCGGATTATACTTTCCCTATTGGATTTAAAACCACTCTTCCCTGGGAGACTGGGAGCTCTTTGAGATATGGATTCATATCTTCTTCATCTTTTTATTTCTTGTCCCTGGGAAAGTGCCTGTTACATAGTAATCTGCTGCTTAAAATGTATATTGAGATGAGTGACAATGGCAATATTTACTTTGTTACTAAACAATAAATTATGTAAGTGAATTCAGGTATTTCCTTAATACCAACATTATTCCAAATACCACAGGACCATACACAGAGAAGTTATGATCCCTAAGCCTGCTTCAGGTGAAGCAGAGAGTCAAAATTAGGAGAACTAAGGAGATAATTTTGAATACAGAAAAGACCTTAAAAGCCAGTTCAAAAGAATTTGGATATTATCGTGAGGGTATGGGAAGCTGTGGAACTTTTTGAAGAAAGGAAACCTTGCTCAAGCTGCCTTTAGGAAGATTTGATAGAAAAATATAGTGTGGATTAAAAGATGGTGAAAGCCTAGAGATGCGAAGAAATCATTGCAGCAATGATGTGAACCTGATATCAAGAGATGGAAATAGAAATAGAAAAGAAGGGGATAGATGCTAGAGAAAGTTACAAAGGTAGAAATAGGTAAAGAGCTTGATGGAAAATGAAGTATAAGAGAGGAGTGTCAGAGATAATTGTCATGTTATGGAACATGGAGCAATGGAGAAGTTAGGAGGTATAAAAAAGAGTATATATGGTTGTAGATGTTGGCGGAGGATGCTGAGCAGCTTAGAACTTGCTGAATTTAAGGTTATTGCCAGGCAACCAAGTCTACAGGGAACCAGCGATAGAGGTAACAATGTATGAGTTAGAGTTAAGAGGAAACAGAAGAAATTGAATCATCAGAGCAGTGACATTGGATGCTGTGAGAATGTGTAGTCTTAGGCAGAAATAGAATACTGTAGAGAGAGGAGTAGAAGGCTGATGCTTAGAACCATCTGCATGTAGGGATAAGACAGAAGGAAATAGCCTGGACCAGGCAGAGTGGCTCATTCCTGTAATCCCAGCACTTTAGGAAGGCGAGGTGGGTGGATAGCTTGAGCTCAGGAGTCTGAGACCAGCTAGGGCAACATGGTGAAACCCCATCTCTAGTAAAAATACAAAAATTAGCCAGTGTTGTGATGCACACATGTAGCTCCAGCTTCTGGGGAGACTGAGGCAGGAAAATTGCTTGAACCCAGGAGGCAGAGGTTGCAGTGAGCTGAGATTGCACCACTGCACTCCAGCCTGGGCAACAGAGTGGTGAGACTCCATCTCAAAGAAAAAAAAAAAAAAAGATGGAATTAGCCCGGAGGCCAACTTAAAGGAGAGATCAGAGAGTGAAAAGAAAAAAGAAATCATATACTGTCTGAGAAGCAATTAGAAGGGATTTCTTTTGTCAGTGCTACCAAAAGGTCTCAGAAGGGTGATTTCTAGGAAAGTCTTTTAGAAGACAGAAACAGTGAGATTGCAGTTTGGACAATTTTGGAGGATATCTAGTTTATTTTGTTTGTTTTAGTTTCAAATCTTTATTCTTCTTTACTTTTTAAATTATTCTTAATTGACATAATTATACATATTTAGGGGTACAGTTTTTATTTTGATACACGTATACAATATGTAATGATCAAATCGGGGTAGTTCGCATTATCTGTCACCTCAAACATTTATCAATTCTTTGTGTTGGGAACATTCAAAACTCACTTTTCTAACTATTTAGAAGCATACAGGCCAGGCGCAGTGGTTCACACCTGTAATCCCAGCACTTTGGGAGGCTGAGGCAGGAGAGTCACATGAGCCCAGGAGTTTAAGACAAGCCTGGGCAATATAGGGACACCCTGTCTCTACAAAAAAATCAGCCGAGCGTGTTGGCACATGCTTATAGTCCCTGCTATTTAGGAGGCTGAGGTGGGAGGATCACTTGAACCTGGCAGGTGAAGGTTTCACTGAGTCAAAGTCATGCCACTGCACTCCAGTCTCATTGACAGATTGAGACCCTATCTTAAAATATATATATATGCGTGCCAGGCGCAGTGGCTCATGCCTGTAATCCTACTTTGGGAGGCTGAGGCCGGCAGATCACCTGAGGTCAGGAGTTGAAGACCAGCCTGGCCAACATGGTGAAACCCCATCTCTACTAAAAATAAAAAAAAAATGAGCTGGGCAAGGTGGCAGGCACCTGTAATCCCAGCTACTCAGGAGGCTGAGGCAGGAAGTTGCTTGAACCTGGGAGGTGGAGGTTGCAGTGAGTTGAGATCACACTACTGCACTTCTGCCTGGGTGACAAGAGCAAAACTCCATCTCAAAAAAAAAAAAAAAAAAAAAAATACCCACACACACAATAAATTGTTGTTGATTGTAGTCATTCTGTAGTGCTGTAGAACACTAGAACTTATTCTTCCTGCCTATCTGTACTTTATCTGTTAACCAACCTTTGGCTCTCCCCTCCTTCTGCTACCTTTCTATAGTTACCACTGTTCCACTTTGTACTTCTATGAGATTGGCTTTTTTAGCTTCCACATATGAGTGAGAGCATGTAGTATTTATCTTTTTGTGCTTGGCTTATGTCACTTACAATGTCCTTCATGTTCATCTGTGTTGTCATAAATGACAGAATTTTGCTTTTCGAAATGGCTGAATAGTATTCCAGTTTGTTTATACACCACATTTTCTTTATCCATTTACCTGATCATGGACTCTAAGTTGATTCCCTGTCTTGGCTATTGTGAATGGTGTTGCAGTAGACATGGGAGTGCAGGTGTCTATTGGACATACTGATTTCCTTTTCTTTAGTAGTGGGATTGCTGGATCATATGGTCGTTGGGAGGCTGAGATGAGTGGATTACTCAAGGCCAGGAGTTTGAGACCAGCGTGGCCAACATAGTGAAACCCTGTCTCTACTAAAAATACAAAAAAAATTAGCTTGGAGTGGTGGTACATACCTATAATCCCAGCTACTTGGGAGGCTGAAGCACAGGAATTGCTTGAACCCGGGAGGCGGAGGTTCTACTCTAGCCTGGGCAACAGAGCAACACTCTGTCTCAAAAAGTTAATAATAATAATATAATAATAATAATAATTTGCATTCCTGCAAACAGTACATAACAGTTTCTCTTTTTCCACATCCTTGCCAGCATTTGTTATTTTTTAATCTATGACAGTCATTCTAACTGGGGTGAGATGATATTTCATTGTGGTTTTGATTTGCATCTCCCTGATGATTAGTGGTGTTTAACATTCTTATTTTGAGAGATATCCATTTAGCTCATATCCCATTTTTTAATGCATTTTATTCTTTTTTGCTGTTGAGTTATTTTATATTCTGGATATTCTTTGTTGGATAAACAGTTTGCAGATACTTTCTCCCATTCTGCAAATTGTCTCTACACCCTGTTGATGGTTTCAATTCCAGTGCCACAGCTTTTTAGTTTGATATAACCCCATTTGTCTATTTTTGTTTTTGTTGCCTGTGCTTGTCAGGTCCTCTTTATAAAATCTTTGCTCAGGGCCGGGCGCGATGGCTCATGCCTATAATCCCAGCACTTTGGGAAGCTGAGGGGGGCAGATCACCTGAGGTCAGGAGTTCAAGACCAGCCTGACCAACATGGAGAAAGCCCATCTCTACTAAAAATACAGAAATTAGCCGGGCATGGTGGTGCATGCCTGTAATCCCAGCTACTTAGGAGGCTGAAGCAGGAGAATCGCTTGAACCTGGGAGGTGGAGGTTGCAGTGAGCTGAGATCACGTCATTGCACTCCAGCCTGGGCAACAAGAGCAAAACTCCATCTCAAAAAAAAAAAAAAAATTCCTCAGACCTGTGTCCTGAAGCATTTTCCCTGTTTTCTTCTAGTAGTTTTATAGTTTCAAATCTGACATTTAAGTCTTTAATCCATTTTGAGTTGATTTTTGTATATTGTGAGAGAAAGGGGTCTAGTTTCATTTTTTTGCATATAGATTTCTGTTACTCCAACACCATTTATTGAAGAGAGTGTCCCTTTCCCCCAGTGATTGTTCTTAATGCCTTTGTTGAAAATCAGTTGAATGGGTCGGGCGCAGTGGCTCAAGCCTGTAATCCCAGCACTTTGGGAGGCCGAGGCGGGTGGATCACGAGGTCAAGAGATCAAGACCATCTTGGTCAACATGGTGAAACCCTGTCTCTACTAAAACTACAAAAAATTAGCTGGGCATGGTGGCGCGTGCCTGTAGTCCCAGCTACACAGGAGCCTGAGGCAGGAGAATTGCCTGAACCCAGGAGGCGGAGGTTGCGGTGAGCCGAGATCGTGCCATTGCACTCCAGCCTGGGCAACAAGAGCGAAACTCCGTCTCAAAATAAAATAAAATAAAATAAAATAATAAAGAAAATCAGTTGAATGTAAATATGTGGGTTTCTGGATTCTCTCTTCTGTTCCACTGGTCTGTGTGTCTGTTTTTATGCCAGCACCATGCTGTATTGGTTCCTATAACTTTGTTGCATATCTTGAAGTCCAGTAGTGTGATACCTCCCCTTTCTTCTTTTTGTTCAGGATGACTTTGGCTATTCAGGGTCTTTTGTAGTTAAGTATAAATTTTAGGATTGCTTTTTCTATTTCTGTGAAGAATGACATTGATTGTTTTTGTTTTTTGAGATGGAGTGTCACTCTGTCACCCAGGCTGGA